GGGGCGTGACACCCCTGCACCCCCAGCACCAACCGGCTGGCCGGGGGGGCTGTGTCGGCAGCCCAGCCTGGGAGAGACAGAAACAACAGGGATGAAGAAACCAGCGGTAACAGATTCCCGAGGGTCAAGGTGGGCCACACGTGCGTGTCCATTCGGTTCCATTGGCTCACTCTTTCACGTCAGGGAGAACACAAACACAAGGCCACGAAGCTGTGTAGGAGCCGAAGGGGCTCCGCCAGGCAGCTGGGAGGAGCTGGGGTTTGCAAAGGACAGGCAACTCTGCTTGGGTTTGCTTCCAAACGATTAATTAATTACGATTAATTAATTAATTAAAAGCCGATCGCTGTCCAGCCGCCACTGCCCACTCACGGGGACTCTGGACAACGAATGACGGCAGCAACGTGCACTCGGCCACGACCCTGGAGATGTCGGTTCAAACCCACTTAGCGGAACCTCGAGAGAGAGGCCCGGAGAGCAGCTTCCGTAGGCCTGACAGCCAAGAGACCACCGGGACGCCTCCGCTCGGTAACGCAGGGCTGTTGCGGCGCCGCTCAAAGAGCTGGTTTTGTTTTTAAGTAAACGCATAGGCGACAGAAAACCTCCGGCAACCTGCAAAATCTAAAATATTCTCTATCTGGCCCTTTCCAGGAAAAGCGTGCCGACGTCTGGGGGGACCTGGATAGAATCTCCTGGAAAAGAAGATGGGGGCGCGAGGGTGGAGTCCACTCCTGGGCACCTGGAATGAGGTTAGACTTTCTCCTGTGCTGACGGGAGGGCCTCGCCCATCTCAGAGAGCAGAAGGGAGGAGCCGGAAGGTGCCTGAGTCAGACTGGAGGGTGGAAGAGAGGTGGGCTGTCACCCTGCACAACTCCAGGGGGCGCCATCCACATTCGCATGCCATGGACCGCAGGTGTGCCTCAGGGGCTCTGTTCACACAGGACAGGGTGGCCCGCACCCCCTGCAGCTAGGCAAAGAAGGAGGTGCTAAACAGGAAGGGCAAGCCCAACTGCCGTTCAACTCTTAGGCCAGCAGTGTGCAAGGAGGGCTACAGAAGCAGTGTTGTACTTACTATATAGCTCTTGGACATTTTGCAGAAGCCAGAGTTTACTTGGGAGGAAACTAATGCCAGTCAATCAGAGCAGACTGCCCTGGTG